TTTTCTTTTTTTTTTTTTTGGTGCAAATGAAAATAATATTAATTAAACAAAAGAGGTAAAAAGGTTAAGACTGGTACCAATACAACTATTCAAATAATGAGAGAAACAATGTACCAAAAAAATAATAATAATGAGAGAAACAAGATGCACAAAAGCGTGGAATAGAATCAAAAAGAAGAAAAGGTTTTTTTATTTTATTTTTTAAAAATACAGCATGCTTAATTAGCTAGTATAGTAGTCACTCTATTTACTTCAAGAAAGGCATGCTTAAGGAAGACCTCCTCAAACTGTCGGATCAATATTGATCTGCAGGTATTAACCAAAGACTTATGATTATGAGTTCTGTTAGTTGCGAAGATACATTTAAGGGGTTAACAAACAAGGGAGAGTCAGTCTCAATCTCAATCCGCCAAGATCCCATTCTAAGTGCTATTTCAAATCCTATTTTTATATCCCAAAATTCATAGTCATTGTTGGATCCATGCCCAAGGTTGCTGGCAAACTCAACAATCCAGTCCCCGTTGTGATCAGTGGCGGAGGTGCGAGGGGGTGCTCATCCCCTAAAATTTGAAAATCTTTGTAAATTAACATTTAAAAAATTATATCATCTCTTGAAATTTAAAATTTTTATAAATTAATATATAAAAAATTATCTCATCCTCTGAAAAAAAATTCTGACTTCACCCCTCGTTGTGATCCTTTATTTCGTTTAACTTTAACCTTGTCGTTTCGTCCTTTGCACAACATCCAAATTAGATGTCAGAAACTAAGGTGGTTGTGCCTATCATTAATTAGTTTCAAAATAAATTCCATGCATGTAAAAAGATAATAATAACAATTAAAGATGTTAGATACATAATTTTAACTGTATAATCCTATTAATAATTTTTTTTATTATTTTAAGTAATATAATTACAAATAATCATCTTTCAACTTGTCATAATTTTAAAGTAATAAATACATATAATATTATAAATAAATTTTTAAATAAAAAATACATTAATATACACTACGTCAGTTGCACGTCATTGTTACAATTCTACGGTAGAATTTCTACCGGGCAGAAGCAGCTGAGCCATAAATTAATTATTTAGGGCAATTGTCTAGGGAAAGGGGACGCAACATTCTCCTCCTACGGTACATGGTTTTTATTCTATTATTCTTTTAAGAATTCCAATTGTCAGGTTATTTGCGACGATACAGGAATTTACTGGAAATGGAAAGAGAGAAGAGTTTGCCTTTTGAATGGCAACAATCACGGTCTCTAAAATTAGTAGGAACGGAGAAGAGAGTGTTGGTGGGAATGGGATGGCTGACGATGACTCTCTTCGTCGTCTGCAGCTGAGCCGTAAATTAATTATTTATGGTAATTGTCTAGGGAAAGGGGACCCAACATTCTCCTCCTCCAGCACATGGTTTTTATTCTATTATTCTTTTAATAATTCCAATTGCCAGGTAATTTCCGGCGATACAGGAATTTACTGGAAATGGAAAGAGAGAAGAGTTTGCCTTTTGAATGGCAACAATCACGGTCTCCAAAATTAGTAGGAACGGAGAAGAGAGTGTTGGCGGGAATGGGATGGCCGACGATGACTCTCTCCGTCATCTGTCCCGGCCCAGCCTACAAGGTTGACTGTTGAGGACTTATGTTTATCGTTCAAATGCCTTTTTGAATCACTATTCATCCCCTAAAGATTCGAATTGGTTAAATCTATT